AGGACACGAAATAGGCAGCGATCATTACATAAAAAGGAAATAAAAAGAAAGGAAAAACCTGGTACAGAAAAGGAAAACGCAATTATAAAAGACCATAAGAAAAATATTAACTAAGAAATTTTAAACTATTTAAAAAAATGTAAACGAAAAACTTGGACATGTGTACAAAATAAATAGAAGACAATAATAATATAAATAACCTATTGTCATCGTGTGCTTTATTCTGTGTACTCTAATGCGCATCGCACCACCTCGAAATCCTTCCCATTGGTCAATTGACCTGGAAATCCATAAAATCGCTACATATGCTTGTATAAAAAGGGCCATGTATACGTTACGTAAAGTGCATTGGTTGAAGCAACAACTTCCATTTCACAATCACTTAACGAAAGGAAACGCGTCATATGCATATTCCTAGACGTCCAGAAGGCGTTCGTTCAGGTCTGGCACACAGGCCTGATCGAAAAACTTCACCTTGCTAGATGGCCCACACCTTTCGTTAAACTAATAAATTCCTATCTCTCCAATCGGCTGATCAGGATCAAAGTTGGCGACATTTTATCCACACCTTTTACTTCACAAATTGGAGTACCCCAGGGCTCAATTTTTACTTCAATATTATACACAGTCTACAATGACATCCCCCACCCGCAGCATAGATCGAAAACCCTTCTTCTGTATGCGGATGATACTGCACTCCTAACGTCAGGACCACACAGAGAGCGTGGACAATTTTCTGTATTCGCAAGAGCACAAAACTACTTAGACCGAGTTATTAGGTGGTGCAATAAATGGAGAGTGACCATAAACGCCTCCAAAACACAACTTATCTTATTCAAATCCTCCAATTGTGGCGATGTTCCCGGATAAGTCTGTTAAACGTTATTCTTAGAAACTGGGTTTCCTATTCGGGAGTTCATCTTAGCATTACTTTTAACTGAAAAACCGACATTCAAGATACCCTAGACGGGGTAAGAAAGAGGTTTAAACTCCTGGCAGTGCTAGCCGGTAAAATGGACAGGACGCCGTCTAAAACATTATTGCACACCTGCAAAACCTTTATAAGACCGATAATTGAATACAAGACATATGTCTACGCATCACTTAACACCATTATGGCCACCGAAAGGAAAATCCTTAGATTCTGCATGAGGAAGGATGATTCACATGCGATCTGCAGAGCGTGCGAAGCAGTAAAAATTGTTTGACTCCTTTCTCCAACGAGGTGACAAGGCACCCAATATTCCACACGAATGCCCAGCCATATCAAAGGCAACACGAATAAATCAACTGCATGCTGGATTTAAGAAGATAGCTGGGAGAGCCTCCAAGACCTTCTACAGACCTGATGTCTTCAGTGTACCAGATATCTTCGACGACCCAGGATTCTTCGAAGTTGGAAGCCACAGAATCTACGGAGGTACTCCGAGTAGGCCAAAGCACTGCCTAGCCTACCGATATGTGGTCCGTGTCGCCACGTAGGTCCAGGTACACTCGACTACGAAAAACCGCGGGATATAGCAGATGGGAACCTAATGGCTGAGAAGAAGATGAGCCCGCAGAGGATCCTGCAGAGGAAGGAGATGATGTCACCACTAACGCTCCTGGAAGCTATCGTAAGTGTTGTGCTGTATTTAACAAACTTTTTTACTTTTTTCTAAATTTGTATTTTAACTCTATTTCTATTTTTTTTTTTTTCATTTGTCATTAACAAATTCTTTCCATAGTCTCTAGAGGAGAGGGATGTCATCGTGGGCCTTAGTCTGAAGCCTAGGGCCTTCCCTTTGGCTATCTGACCTGGATATATCTGAAATCGCTACACATGCGTGTATAAAAATTGGCAAGACAAGGCAAGTCAGTCTTCCTCAGGCTTTCTTAAAGTCGTCTACACTCCTGGGCTCCGTTTTGTCTTTAACCTCAAGACTCTGTGATTGCTTTTTCTACTACTTTAAATGGTGTTTTATTTTATATGCAAGATATAACTAGTCTTTATCAAGGCTAGCTACACGAATACATCAACCATAGCCAAAATGATCTTAGCAGTGAATACTTAACCTGCGACGGTGAAGCCTTCTGCAAGTCGTACGAGGCAGTAAAGGTAGTTCGACCTCTTTTTCAAACGAGACGACATTTTAAACCAACTTTAAGAATTTACGCAGGAGAGTATTTCTAAGAAGTTAAGATTCCTCAATCAAAACGCTTGCAAATAATATCTGTTATTGTTTGCATATACTTTAAAAAAAAATAGAAATCTTTATCTGAAACAACTACAACATATTTCCAACTTACAAACATCTTTATTTAAGAGAGATAATTGGAAAAAATGTGGAGGTAGAATGAAAAAAGACAGGAATATTTACCAAAAGCTATTCTACAAAACCCTGAAGATGTTAAAAACACAGAAAAACAAGAAATATAAAACTTTAGGGATACAAACGGAGGTAACATTAATTATGAACAAAATGAAACACTAAAAGATAACATAGAATACTCAATAAACGAGAAAGAACTAAAAGAAGCAATACAAATGTTAAAACAAGGAAAAGCACTTGGAGTGGAAAGAATAACAGCAAAAATAATAAAAAACAGAGATAGCTGAGTTGGTGGAGCCATTTACACTGGATAAAAGATACACCAGTCAGAAGAGTGAGAAAAACAAAGATATTGAAAAAAAAAAAAGAGAGACCAAGACAAACATAGGATGAAGTAATCAGAACGATATTGGAGAGAAAAGAAGTGACTTGGACAAATGCAAGAACATCGACACGAAATCGAAAAGAAATTTTTAAAGAAGTAAATTACACCACAAAGTAGAAATCTGGCGATTTCTTGGTTGACAAAACCAAACTTCAGATTACACTGGGGAACAATTGGAAACTTAATTTCTGTTGGGTTAGATTTTTTTAGCTGTTGTGTATAGAATTAGGCATGCTGGTTTCAAAACTGTTTTTAATTTTCTTCTATCACGTCACGTTCGTTTTCTATGTGGGTGGGGCGCATGTTGGTGGGGGAATGACGCGCTGATAACTGCAACTGGTCTAGACTTGCCTATTCACTTCAGTTACGTCTGTTATACTGTGGTGCAAGGTTATGTGTCTGTTAGCAGTATTTAGTATTTCGTTACTGAAGTGTATAGAACTACTTAGTGTGTTTGAACTGAAACGTTTCCTTATGGCTACCTTTGCTCCTACACGTCGTAAATGCCAAAACAGCCCCGATTCGTTTTGTTATATATGTGGCAGTTTTACCATTCCCAGTCAAAGCACAAACATCAGTACATTTATCAGACAAGCATATTTTGCCTATTTTAAAGTAAATCTTGGTGATCAAGATAAAGTCGAAATCCCCGTACCAATTTTCCATGTATTTTCCTCTTTGGAAGAAGGGGAATATGGATATGGTGCAGATGAAAGCGACTCCAACGATGAAGATTTCGAAATTGAAGATGACTCTGTACCTAAGGGATTCGAGCAGCAAGAGCTAAATGATTCGGTAAGAGATTTGGGGCTATCCAAAAAAGCTTCAAAGCCCTTAGCATCATAACTCAATGAGAAAAACTTGCTTGAAAAGGGAGCCATGGTATCGTATTTTCGAACACGAGAAAGGGTATTTCTGCAATACTTTTAAAGTGATGGTGGATTTGTGTTTCGCCATAATGTAAGTGGTTTCATGGAATAATTGGGAATTTCAAACTAACTTTATAGATAGCTCAAGCGAAGCTTGAAGTGTGTTCTCCTTCACAATGGAAATTTATTTGGTTCAGTTCCAATTTGCCATTCAGTTTGTTTGCGTAAAGAATATGACAACATAAAGAAAGTCATTGATCTGTAGCAATATCACATGCACCAATATATCATTTGTGTTGACCTTGAAATGGTCTGCTTCCTACTTGGTCAACAACGTAGATACACAAAGTATCCCTGCTTTTTGTGAATTAGCAGTGCAGTGCCAAGACTGGACCTGAGACATGTTGATCTAATCATTGTACATCAGCCCCTTGTCGACAGAAAGAATATTATATTTTTACCTCTGCATATAAAATTGGGTCTCATGAAACAATTTGTTAAAGCTTTGCCAACTGAAGGAGACTGTTTTCAAGTATCTCGTGTCGAAATTTCCTAGACTGTCATTTGAATAGGTAAAGGCCGGTGGTTTTTGATGGTTCACAGATTCGGTAACTTCTTGCAGATGAACATTTCGTGATAACAAAGTCAGAAATTAAAAAGAATGCGTAGTTGGCATTCAAAACCATTGTTAAATACTTTCTTGGAAATACACGAGCATTGAATTACGCCGACATTGTCCAGCAACTCTAGGAGAGCTTCCAAAACCTAAGTTGCAACATTAGCATTAAAGTGCATTTTTTACATAGCTACCTTTCTAATTTCCCGGACAATCTTGCGGTGAGTGATGAGCAGGGTAAGCGTTTCCATCAAGATTTGAAGGTTATGGAAGCACGGTATCAATGTAGATGGGACGTACATATGAGACTAGTTGGAGTATCAAGCGCGAATATACACAAACTGAACACTCCAGAAAAAGCTATAAACAAAAATGTTTGTCTTAATTTGTAATTACTGTTCAATAATTAAACAATTTTATTTGTATGAACTCGATTTAACTTACATTAAATGTTTTGTAAACTGTAGATTTGATACGTTAATATTTCATGTTTCTTTATATGCATAATTTTTGAGGATATCCTGTAGTTTAAAATTTGACGATACAGACAAAATATGAGGTTATACTCAGACGACAAAAATTAGTGGAAGACAAGTATATCACCAAAACTTTCCATTTATATTTTTCTTTTAATATTACACGATACTGACCTTGCTTTATATGAAATCCAGCAATTGTATTAAAAAGTAATGTCGTAACAAATGGAATAAAACCTAATCCATGTTCTAATGAGATTAGTTCCGGATTACACAAATCAGATTTATTGAGCAGTGATTTCTATAAATTAACAGTTTGTGAAGAGGGCGAACGCCAGTTCAGAATAAACCATATGAGTGAAGAAAAAGGGTAGCAGAATGGGCGTCTCCAACTGGACTGAACCTCTTCAACCTCTCGGAAGGTAAGACAATAATCTGAATTGGTACTTTTATTATAGAGCTGTATTTTTGTTGATATTGTTTCTGGTACCTCCTTCTTTCTTTCAGTTGATCTTTCTTTTATTTATCCATAAGACTTTCTGTATGTAGTTTTTTTTTTTCATTTAGAAACCATTACCTTTTGACCATCCTTTTTTATGACCAGTAGACCAATAAGACCAATACATATCCTTTATATATGTATATAAATCGAGACTTATTTCCATTTAGGAATAAGTTTTTCTGTAGATTTTTTTCATTTGAGAATCATTATCTTTCTGGTTACCTCTTTTGCTCTCTTAAATGATGACTAGTCTGAAAGTCATGAATAATCTTTACTTCTTCTTCCTCTTTATAAGCAATTCTGCTTGTTTATTGGCGGAATAATACCTCTATGGAAGGTTATCACTCCATCTTTTGCGTGGTCGTCCAATATTTCTTCTGCCGATTGATGACTTATCTCTTGCTATTTTGACGACACGTCTTTTTTCCATTCTGCTTATGTGGTTATTCCATTCTTTGTGTGGTGTGTGTTCCAATGTGTCTGTTCGTCATATAGTGTTATTAAGGCATCCTGTCAGTATATTTGCTTTTTGTACTTGATCTCTCACTTCTTTGTCCAGGTCCTCATAGGTGGACAGTGTAATTCCAAGGTATTATATTTCCATTACTTGTTCAATACTGATGCCACCATTTTTTTTTAATTCCATTCTGTATCCTCTTCCTTTGTTAACGATTATGATGATTTAATCCATGATTAAATTGAAAAGCAAAGAGTCCCTCTGTCGTATTTCGCTGCCTATTTGTATTGGTTCTATAAGTTGTCCTTGTTTACTGATCCTATGAATATCACTTTTATAACATACAACACTAGCTGCAGTGCATGCAAGTAAATTAAATAGTTACTTTTAACTAGAGTGGATACTCCATATCTTCATAGCAAAATAAACATAATATTATTTAGACTTAGCCATACGGCTCACATTTCCTCTAAGGGGAAAATTCACTCATCCCTGATACCTAACGTATCAAAAGGATTAAGCTATGGTGGGACTCTTTCTGTGATATCGAGCTCTAGCTGACTTAGTATGCTGGAGTATCTCCCAAAAATTTTCGTACACATCTGGACGTCGAGAATAGAACAGGTTTCTGCATGACCTTATAAAGATGTTTCTTTTATACCCAGCTGTTTTATGTTCCCTAGAAGGTTTTTGAGAATAACACCAGTAGTAGATATAATAATAGGTACTGCCTGAGTACTTTCCATTCTCCATTGTCTCCTGATTTGTATTTCTAGATCTCTATACTTGGCGATCTTTTCGTTGTATTTAACATGCAAATTATTGGTGTTAGGTATCGCCACATCAATTAGTGTTGTTTGCCTAGTAAGTTTATTAACTAGTATGAGATCCGGTCTATTATGTGCCACTTGTTGGTCTGTGATCACAGTCCGGTCCCAGTATAGCTTGTAGTTATCATTTTCAAGTATTCTGTCATGGACGCATTGATAGTAAGGAATAATGACGGTTTGAAGAAGTCAGAGTTTTGTCAGCTAGCTCTTGGTGGATAATCTTTTCTACTGAGTCATGGCGTTCTTTATAATCAGTGCCGACAAATGTCTGGCAGCCACCGGTAAGATGTTGGATGGTTTCTTGGGCTTGGCATCCAGATCGGCATTTTTCATTTTGGACTTGAGGATCTTTGACAATATATTTCAGATAATTTTTAGTTGGAATAACTTGATCCTAAATGTCAAGTAGGAAACCCTCATTTCGGGAAACTCTTTCTTGATGTCAACCAATAGTTCAACGCTGTTCTTGTTCCCTCAGTTTAAACGGCGGTGTATCGTTTACTGCGCAAATTGCTCGATGTAAAGTAGATGTCTCAGCCTTCACATGAAAATAAGTTCTTAAATTAGCAATCTGTTGATCCAGTTTCTTACCTATGTCCATAAATCCTCTTTCCCCTTGACATCTCGATAATGTTGTTTTCTCTGCTGCACTGCGTGGAGGGTGTTTTGTGTGCGGTGTGCCTTTGTGAGAAGTATTCTTACTCTCCGCTGGAGACTTTCTATATCCATTTTTGACCACTTAATAACACCAAATGAGTAGCTAAGTGAGCAACAGGCGTACATATTTAATGCCTTAAACAAATTTTTGCTATTAAGTTATGACCGATTTAGCTGTCTTACTCTTCACACAAACTCAGAAGTTAGTTCGGTTTTCATTAATTTATGGTCAATTTTTCGCGCTTGCTGCCCTTCTAGATATTTGTACATACATGATGATAATTGTCAAATATAAACTGGAATTAGCAGAAAGTGGATACTGTGGATATTGTCCTTTTTTTATCTTTCTATTTTATTATATTATTATTTTTTTATCATCACTTTCTCTTTCAATTTTAGACAGTCTCCATCCTCCCATCTCAGATCTTTTGATAATTTAATTAGTATATATTTTCCAAATTTGGCCTGTCTCAAGTTAAAATTAGTTTGTTCCTTTTTCTCACTTCCTTGACACTTTTTGATCAGGGCCGAGCCTAGAGGTTTGCTGCCTAGGTGCAAGAACCAAATTTGCAGCCTCATCAGCAGTTTTGGAAAACGTGTATAAGAAAACATCGCAAATTAGGGAAAATTATTAAAAACACATTTTTGAATATTTAAATCATAAATATATATTTATTTATATTGACATAAAGTCAACAAATGGATACATATCTATAATATAAATATAAGCTTATACCACATATTATGTACATAAATATAATTTGTTATAACCAAACTACAAAACTCTACATATTTATTTTACGAAAAATAAAGTAAACTATACGACAATATAACTATAACACTATAACTACTGTTGCGTTTAGTCAGTAAGTCTGTCTATTCACCAAGAGAGAAGACTATTGTCCTGAATGTTCACGATGCTCTGGTTTCTCAGAATCCCACAAACACTGTTCGCAACATAGTCGAAAGTTGTGCCAACATGACTGGCATAGAGGAGTCAACGATATATAGATTCCAATCAGAAAGAAAAAACCATGGTATAGCTAACCCAAATACAAACGAACACTTAAAGAGAGGGAAAAAGCCTATTGAAATTGATGAATTTGCCAAAAATGGTATTCGAAGGAAAATTCATGGAATATTTTTCAAAAAAGAAATACCATACCTAAACAAAATTTTACAAGAGTTAGAGACGATCCGGATTTGCTTCATATCGGACGAACTAAATTGTGGCAAATTTTAAAAGAATTAAATTTCCGATGGGAGAAATCAGACCGAAAATCACTTTTGATTGACCGGGAGAAGATAATATGTTGGAGAAGAAATTATCTAAGATCCATATGAAAATTCCGGGCTGAAAGAAGGCCAATCTTCTACGAGGATGAAACGTGGGTAAACTCAGGTCATACTCTAAAAATATTTGGTCAGATAAAAATATATTAACCTCCACACTAAGGTTGGTCTACTGGTATCTCTCCACCTTCTGTTAAAGGCAGTAGATTAATAATTTCTCACATTGGCAGTGAAAAAGGATTTGTTAAGCATGGTTTGTTGGAATTTCAGTCCAAAAGCACAAAAGACTATTCCGAGGAGATGACAGCTGATGTTTTCGAAGAGTATTTTGAGCAGATGATTGAACTCATACCACCAAATTCAATTATAGTATTAGATAATGCACCTTATCATTCACGACTAGTAGAAACACTTTCAACGACTGCGTGGAAGAAACAGGATATTCTTGACTGGCTGCAGAATAAATATCTGCCTTACGAAGATGAAATGGTAAAAGCAGAACTTTTAAAAATTGCCCGGCAACACAAATCTAAGTTCAAGAAATACGTAGTTGACAAAATGGCGGAAAGGCGAAACATCACAGTCCTTAGACTTCCACTCTACCAATGCGAAATAAATCCAATTGAACTCATTTGGGCTGTGAACTCAATGTGGGATCTTGATAACATAATTGATGCGACCGTAGAGACACAACCGCTAATTTAACCCTCAAGACGACTCGGATTCCGAAGTTGATCCTATTTATTTTGAATTTGTATGGTATATTTGTATGTATATTTGTATTTTGTATTAAAGGGGAAAGGCGCAAAATGTCGCCTGTTAGAATGTTCAATGTTTTCAATATTTTTTTTTTCAAATCCTAAGAAAACTAAAAAGCATTTTTGAAAAATTTAAAGGCAGAATGAAATATTTATCAGAATAAATAAAAAGTTTCTTTTGCATGCAATATTTTCAATTAAAATTATACTATATTTTCTCTTTTATTTTCACCCCTGTTACATAACATATTAAAATAAACATTGTAGAAATTTTCAGGGACTTTCTGCCCTCAGTAATAATGCAATCTTTCATTCTGCGTTTAAATTTTTCAAAAATATTTATTAGTTTTCTCCGAATTCTAAAATAATCGATACATTTAAAACACATTGAAAATTTTGCCAGGCGACATTTGGCGCCTTTCCCCTTAATTAAATAAATGTATCTTTTACAAATGGCAAGAGACTTTTTATTTTTGAATAAAATAAAGAAGTTTTATTAAAACAAAAATGCAATTTACATAAGTACAATTTAAAAAATATATTTATTTAGTTCAAATAAATGATTTCAATCATAAACTCTACGACACTGGTCGGTCATCTGTTACCGAAATACCTTCGTAATCGGATTATAAGGTTGACTGCTGTATTATATTCCTTCAGATACAAGGTGGGTTAGTCGAAAACATCTTAAACCGTCATTTTCATTTTGGTTTTTACTATTATATCGTATTACCTATCCTCGCTGTATTTCAGTTCTCTAATTAGGGTTAAACTTGTAGTGAGCTATCGACAAATTGTAAACCGATTATAGGTAGGTATACACGTCTAAATAATAAAATTGACTTTTTTGCCTCTTTAGGTGCAAATTCCCTAAATAGGTCAGTCACATCTAAATTAAAACAAAAATCTTTCTCGATACTTATTATAGCTAAATTTGTAAGCCTGGATTGGCTCATGGTAGAACTTCGCTAGTTTTTAATTAATTTAAGTTTTGAAAATGATCGCTCTCCATGAGCTACAATGACTGGCATAGTTAAAAATATTCTAAGCGCAACAAATAATTAGGAAATATTCCTTTTACTCGTTAGCAACGAGATAGGCTAACACTTCTTTGGCCGACAGATTATTTTTATTAGTAATGTGAATAGACATTATATCAATCTCATTGTAAAGATCTGTTGCATTTATATCTAAATTTTTTGTTTCTGAGTCAGTTACTTTAGTTTCTAAATTGGTACAATATTTCATTATTTCCTCTTTAGAAATGACTAAGTTATTTAAAAAATCAAAAGGTTCAACATGTGTTTCTAAATCTTAAAATCTCTCATCTAATTTTGAGATGGCAATATCAAGAATATAAAAATGCAAATTTACAAAATGTAATTCTGGAGATTGAATTGGCTCATCTTTATGTTCATAGTCATAAAAAGTCTTTTTTCTTCTTTGTCGAACCGTATGAACTACAGGAAATGAAATTTCTACATCCATTTCTTGAGCTATTTTTTAGCTTCATTGAGCAAATTTATAAACCCATTGTCTGATCTCATATCTGTTAAAAATATTTTAATTCCATTTAATATTTGTACAGCTTCTGGTAAAATAATGTTAGATTTTTGCATGATTTTGCTAACTGCATTTATTTTTAATAAAATATTGTACCAAACAACTAAGGAAACATATAGATATAAATTATTTTATTTTATTAATCAGGGAACTTGCAGTATTCCTTGTGTCATTATCTCTAGATTATAAACGGTCATTATAAACGGCAAACAGTGCATAATAAACTTTTTCCAATTCAAACCTAAGAGCCTGTACGGCATCAATTCGACTCTCCCACTGGGTATCAGAGAGCGGTTTTAGCGTTAACCTAGGCACTTCTTTTAAAAGAATATTCCATCGATATATTGATGCCGGAAAAAAGACATATAGTTTTTGAATAATACTGAAAAATAGGTAAAGAAATAATAACTTGCAGTATTGAGAAACAGAAGAAGAACTGTCACATGCTAACCTACATCTGTCAAATTTACCACTAAAATCTAATAGATAACACATAAAAAACTCATTGTGCCCAAGACTGAGATGTAGTGCATTAAAGTCCTTCCTCCCTTTTAAATTTAATGTTTGTTTCGTCCCTTCTAAGTGTTTTCTGTTTTAGTGTGTTTTAAATTGTCCTTAATTGTTTTAATTCTAACATTTTATTTACTTGACTTTGCAATAATCTACTATTTTGCCAATAGAACTTTATCAAAGTAATTTGATAACTACAAGTTGTAATTAAATTCATAAATATATCTCTCGAATAAGTATAAATAACTTTTAATAATACAATGGTATATTACATCACTTTCATTTAACAAACAATCACACACATATCTCTGCTTCATTGGATCAAATCTATCTCCTCAAGAACTTCCCGTTTACTGTCAAACAACTACAATAGCAGAATTGAGTTCTCCATTCAACAATACATAGTAGTTTCAACCATGTTCTACCATCCATCAATTAATAGAGTACTGGCATGTAAGTAATGTATTTTTATTTATTTGCTCATTTATTAATTTATTACAATCTAACAGACTATTTTATAACAATTTGTGGGCCTTACCTTGTCTGTTTAAACTTTTATACCTTTTTATTCAACTTACTCTTTTTGAAATAAAACCACAGACATGTAATATTGGCATAATTATTGTAATTTACAACATCTACTTTGTTTATCTTTATTAGACAACACCCTAATATGGGTTTTTATCATTTCAGCATTTATTTAACTTTGTATCGAGACCTGAGGATGCTTTGCATATTGTAGAAAGCGAAACCGGTCGTCTGATAGTTAAATTAAATTGATTGTGAGTAAGTCTTATTTATTATTTCTTTACCTATTTGAAATGGACTCACACAAGCAACACATTCATGATTTGAATACTGAAAAAATTGGTACCTTCAAGCGAGCTTTTTGCTGCATCGTTCACGACTAAATTAAGGCTGTGTGCCGCACAAAGAACAAAAAAAAGGCTCTGGGATTAATATGTTGCTAACTTCGCAGAATCTTAAAAAATGTTCTCGAATCTCTACAGGTTTAGAAAAATCATCAACAAAAACAAATCTAACAACAATTGTGATTTGTTCTTGATGACTAATGTCGGGCGTGCAATCAAGGATATTTGAAAAATATTTGCACATTTTTAAGGATTCAATTATATATTTTTTAACTTTTTCTCCTACTAAGGTGATTATTTCATTTAGGATTTTATCGTCCAAATAGTGTGCCATTTTTTTGCCATCTTTTTGAATCCTGCCGATATCGTCAGCCATTACACTATCAAATTTTGCAATTGTCTCAATTCATTTCATAAAATTGCCATTACCTTTTTCGCATAGTTTTTGACTGTTGCCCCTAAAAGTCAGTAATTAATATAAATGATAGCTAATAACTTGACTGTAGGCACTATAGTTTAAAATTATTATAACATTGTATTTTATTTAAAATATTAAAAATAGTCTTAAACGTTTTCAAACCTGAAATCAGATTGTTTAAAATATTTTAGGGTTATGGATCCTATGGATGAAATCATGGTTCAACACATAGGATGGAACGTAGACGCTGACGATCTGATCCATATCCCAAAACATTGGCAACTCTATCCCGCCCCAGAAAAATCTCTCCATTTCCTCCTTGGTATGATCTACGTTTTTCTTTGGTTTTTAGCCATCATTGGAAATGGGCTCGTCCTGTGGATATTCACCTCGTAAGTATATTCATAGGTAATTAGTTAATGTTTAGATAATGAAATAAACATTTGTATGGTTATTATAAACATTTGATGTTTTCTAGAGTATAGAGTTTACTAAATGTTGTTCTTAATTTAAACATAATTGATTGATGTAATAGTTTTTACATGTTTTAGGGCAAAAAGTCTAAGAACAGCATCCAACATATTCGTAGTCAATTTGGCTTTCAGTGATTTCTTGATGTTTGTAAGTATGCCAATCTTCATTTATAATTCATTCAACGGAGGATTCGCTGCTGGTTGGCTGTCCTGCCAGGTCTACGCTTTAATAGGATCACTTTCTGGTATATCTCAGGGCATGACTAATGCCTGCATAGCCTATGACAGGTAAAGTCTATTGTTTTATATATTTTTGTTTTATTTGTGTAATAAATCGAAATATGTAGAATGGGCCTTCTTTTTACGTGTGTTTCATATTTTTTTACATACGTGAGACAAATATTCAAAACTGTATGTATTTAGACAAAATATAAAGAATTAAACAAAAATATCCGTGGCGATATGTAGACGATGTGTTCTCTATTTGGCTTCACGGACCAGCAGCATTGAATATATTTCTGACGGACATTAACAATCATGAAAATTCAATCAAATTCACCATGTAGTAAGAAAACAATAATTAATTTCGTTTTCCGGATGTGCTAATCACAAAAGAAGACAGAATATGCAACCAAAATCTACAGAATAACCAACCCACACTAACAGTTTAAATTACTTAAATTACTACTTCAACCACAACATAAGCATTAAAAAAGGAATTATCGAATCCCTATATGACAGAGTTCGAAGCACCTGCTCTAATGAAAATGCATTTCAGGAAAGAAAAAACCTGCTAAAAAAGGTTTTGATTAAAAATGATTACACATTGTCATTTATAAACAAGAAATTCTACAAAATTAAAGAAAGAAAACAACAAAACACCACAAGCAATCCAGAAATACTCATAAGAAGGTATTCAAAGATGACAACAATACCATATGTAAAGGAAAAAAGTACAATATCACAAGAGCATTCAAGAATGAAAACGCTAAGATCTATCTTCTCCAAAACCAAGCCCAACAACACACAAGATAGGTCAAAAACTGCATCTATAAAATACTCTGTGAATGCAACTGTTTCTACATTGGAGAAACCACAAGACCATCAAGTGTCAGGATAAATGAGCATGAAACATGCATCAAGAACAGAAACTTCGAGAAGTCCCAGATATGCAAACATGCCTGGGGCATCGAGCACAGACTACAATGGAAAGATGCATCAATAATTATGAAAAATACAGACATGAAGAAAAGAAAAGTCAAAGAAGCCATGCCCTTATCCTACTCAACGAAGAAAAATGTGTAGTAAACCCGTCAGCAGAATGCAGCAGACTTTGGTTGACAATACTAAAAGAATAAATCAACCAAAAAATATACCAATAATAGCGGAGTAATAACGTATCGGAAAAACATCACCTACAATCTTATACACAATACATATGCAACACACAATACATAAATCTACTTTGCACAATTTACGTTACATAACCGCAATTACGATACAGTTTACACAAACAAATAAACAAAACAATCAGAGTTTGATATTTTTAGGGTAAATACCACTCTCAGATTTTTTGAACCGCATACAGTGTGTTCATATCAGGTGGCAGGTAGCACTCTTCTACAATCCCAATAGAAGACAGGCTACTACAGAGATTAGTGACCCTGCCTTATGCTAGCTTCTGGTTCTCCCTCCTTCCTTGCCTGAGGGGGCCAGGTCCTACCCTCTACCAACTCGCACTGGCCAGCGCGGTAGAGTATGGCTAAAATCCAAGCATGCTTAACACAACGCATGTGTAAAAACACGGCCCTCAGTCCCCGGCAGTGAGATGATCCTTGGTCAAGGTAGCGATCAAGAAAGACAGCAAACAGAAGGTGCAAAGAATCACCGTATCAGATCAGGCTACCACAGACGACGACAAATGTATATCGCCACGTACAATGTAAGAACACTCTCATCTGAAGAAAAATTACTGGAATTAGAAGAGTTAAAACACATAAAATGGGACGTTATAGGTCTCTGTGAAGTAAGACGCGAAAAAGAATACTGTATAACTCTTAAATCAGGGCATCAACTTTTCTATATGGGAAACAAAGAAAAAATAGAAGTTGGACTTCTTATACATAAGAGACACTAAAAATGTCCAACAACTTAAAGGTATTAACCCAAGAATAATACTCTGCATACTGAAGCTTAACAAAAAAAATCAGCCTTAAAATAATTCAAGCCTATGCACCTACATCTACACACTCGGACGAGGAAGTGAAAACCTTTTATGAAGACCTAGAAAATGCAGTAAAACTGGCGCCTACTACACACAAGCTAGTAATGGGTGACTTTAATGGTAAGTTGGGATGTAAACTGGACGGGACCGAAGTTGCAATAGGTCCCTATGGATTCGGACAAAGAAATGAAAGAGGCGAAATGTTCTTGGGTTTCTTGGTACGAAATGGCCTCTTTGAAATGGATAGCTTTTTCAAAAAAAATTTCCCAAAGAAAATGGACCTGGCAAGTCTAGATGAAGTCATCAAAAATGAAATTGATTTTGTCTTAACCAACAACAAAGACATGGTCCATGATGTAAAATTTTTTAATAGCTGTTCAGTGGGAAGTGATCATAGAATGGTAAGAGCGAAGATCGTGCTAAATCTCCAAAAAACAAAGATACAAATGATAACAAAAACACACCCAATAGGATGGAATCCAATCGAAAACACCATGTCCTTCTCCGAAGAGGAAATTCTGAGATGTCTAGAAACAACAAATATAGACGTTATGGATGTTGAAACCTTAAATGATAACCTAATTAAAGCTATTAAGAACGCAGAGAAAAAGTGCAATACAAATCCTAGGAGAGATAAGGAGGGAAAAATGAATCAAGAGACAAAAAGACTTATGGAGACACGAAGAGAACTTAAGAACAAAAACGATACGAATGCACGCGTACTACAACAACTTAATAAATATATGACAAGCTGTGAGAAAGGAGATATTTTTACATATAAGTGACATATTATTATAAGCAGCGAGAAAGGACGTACGACAATATAACACAAAAAAGATTACAACGGTTGTCGAAGAAAATAAAAGTGTAAAGGTGCTGAAGAGATGTCAAGCTCTAGGTAAGAAGAATATTGTTAAGCTCGCAGATCAAAATGGAAAAGTGGTAACAGATAAAGATAAGATAATTAAGGTAGTTGAAGAATTTTACACAGAATATATAGATAAAGAGGTAAGAAAGACGGCACCACGTTGAGAAAAGTCTAGAATGTGGATTCAGGTTTAAAGTCATTAAATCGAATAAAAAACAATAAAGCAACTTTTGATGACCAAATCGTTATTGAGGCAGTTAAAGCAGGAGGAAAGACAGTATTGGAAGCATTGAAACAATTATATAACTTATGCTTTTCAAAAGAGGTTACACCATCTAAGTGGAATAAAGCTGTTATAGTAGACATGCACAAAACTATAGACCTATTAGCTTGTTATCTCAGTTTATAAGTTGTTTATGAAGATAATAACTAATAGGTTGACATCAAAACTAGACTTCTATCAACCTTGCGAGCAAGCAGTATTTAGAGATGGACACGGAGCAAATGATCATTTGCAAACCATTAAGTCGTTAATTGAAAAAACCATTAATATAATAGACCCCCGATACTTGCTCCAAGCTCTAACACAATGTAGAATAGATCACCGATAAATATCCCTCATCAGATACATCTATCAGCATGCTACAGCCTGTGTAAGACTTAATGAAGATACTGGGACTTTTCGTATTGAAAGAGACGTTCTGCAAGGAGACAACATCTCTCCTAAATTATTTACAACTTTGTTAGAATACGCTTGTAAAACAATAGATTGAAATATAACGAAACAATAGAAACAATAGAACGAAAAGGGCATCGATGTAGATGGAAAATTTTTAAATAACCTTAAATTTGCAGATGATATCGTTCTTATTGCAGACAGATTTAATCAGGCACAGATAATGGTCCAAGAACTCCATACTGCCACAAAAAGAGTTGGTCTTAAAATAAATTTTTCAAAAACACAATTTATGACAAATTTAGTCCACAACAAAAACATCTCAGTAGAAGAAAAATATATTGAGCCAGTTGACTACTTGGGCCATAAGATCAGAATAAGTCTAGACAACCAAACAATCGAGCTAAAAAGAAGAATAAACCTCGCATGGGCTGCTTTTGGAAAGATGAAGGATATTTTTAGGTCTAAGATTCCAATGTGTCTAAAAAGAAAAGTATTTCATGAGTGTATTTTGCCAGTGATGACTTACGGCGCAGAAAATCTAACACTCACAAGAACAACAGTGAGTGAACTACAAATTGCGGAAAGGGTAATGGAGAGAATAATGTTATGGATTTCTCTACGTGATAACCCAATGCTACTATACGCAAAATATCAGGAGTAGCAGACGTTATTGAAAGGATAACAACACTAAAGTGGAACTGGGTAGGTCATGTAGCAAGATCAGTTGATGACCGGTGGACAAAAAGAATTTTGGAATGGAGACCCCGAATACAAGCTAACAGAAATAGAGGTCGACCGCCAACGAGATGGACATATGACATAAAAAGAGTGACTACAAATTGGATTCAGATGGCGCAAAATCGGACTAAGTAGAAAAGCATGAGAGAGGCATATGTTCAGCAGTGGACGTTAGAGGCTAGTTGATGATACAGGGTGTTACATATAAATTATGGGTGCCCCACTACAGCCAGTAGAAGTAATTTCGACCAATTCAAAAGTTATGGGACTTGTTTACAACTACCTCTATAACTAATTTTCTCTAAGCCTGTAAAGTTTAGCTTTTTTTGGTTATTTAGTTCCATCTCTAACGACTGACTTCATTTACCCCTAGATCTAGGAAAAATATTAACTACGCATAGAACTTTCATACTATTTTAAATTATTTACATGAGATACAAGATAGATCCCAGAACTCTAACTTGTGGTAATCCAGTTTTTATTTCCGTTAGATTTAGACAAAATATTTACAAGAGTTCATAATTGTTTAATTTGCATCGTAATTATGATTTATTATTTAATGTAAATAATTGTTCAATTGTATTATTTCATTTTTAATTTTAAAAATTTGGTACATTTAATTCTATTAACAGATATACCACAATTACAAGACCTTTTGATGGAAAACTATCCAAAACGAAAGCTGTCCTCATGGTTCTCTTCATCTGGGTATACACGTTACCTTGGGCGCTATTGCCGATGTTTGAAACGTGGGGAAGGTATATGCCAGGTGAAGTTATCTAAAGTTGTATTGCTGTTTATTATAATATAATTCTGGTGTATTTTAGAAGGATACCTGACGGCATGTTCATTCGACTACCTCACCACTACCTTCGATAACAAACTGTTCGTAGGATCAATTTTTACTTGTTCCTACATCTTTCCAATGACAGCTATTATATTTTATTACAGCCAGATTGTCAGTAAAGTATTTGATCATGAAAAAGCCCTTAGAGCACAAGTAAGTTAATACATTATTATTAAACATTTTCCATCTAATTTTTTTCCATTGATTTTTAAAAATCTATAAACGCTGGATTTTTTATTCTGAAATCCCTTTACATACTCCATTGTCGTTAATTCTCAGGCTAAGAAGATGAACGTCGAATCCTTAAGGTCGAATCAACAACTAAAGAACGAATCGGCAGAAGTGAGGATAGCCAAAGCGGCAATCACAGTCTGTTTCCTATTCGTCGCTTCTTGGACCCCATACGCCGTTCTGGCCTTGATTGGAGCATTTGGGGATCAATCACTTCTATCTCCAGGAGTTTCTATGATCCCAGCGTTGACATGCAAACTGGTTGCCTGTCTAGATCCGTATGTGTATGCCATAAGCCATCCAAGATACAGGTAAGTAGGCTAGAATTTTTGTACCAGTAAACCAGATACACCAACATATTTTTCAGGTGAAATTATTGTAGTATTTTTTTACGCACAACAGGCCGTTAAAGCCTAAGGCATTTTTTTAAACAAAATCCTAGTATTAACTAATTACAATTATTTTAAACAAATCTTTAACTTAAATATGTATATACAACATTCTTAACTACTCTGAAGGACCTGGTGGACAATACGCCAGGTCGCCAGGTCTCCATTCGCTTCTATTTTGTGCTTTCTTTACCAGTCCCTCACCTTCACGTGATTAAGGTCTTCCTCCACTTTACTAATCCACCATCGATTCTACCAAAACATAATACGGGCCTTTATAAGAAAATATGTAACTATTATTGAAATCGAAACGGGTATTTATAGCTTCCATACTTTTATCTTAATCAGGGGCTGGTTATTCGCTATTTGCCCGAAGAATCACCCATTTTAAAATATAAAGAACAATCCTACTTTTATGTAAACGATGTAAACACTATCGATGTTTAGACATGGCGAAAAGCTTGCTTTCGTTCGGACAAATATGTTTATGAGATTTTTTTGCATATTCACTTTCATGGAAAAAATAAGGTTTGTGGTACTGGAAATTTCAAGATTGGCAAATGATGGATAACTTTATTGTTAAAAGACCTACTGTTTTATAATTCTCAGAAAATCTAATGAATATTGCCAAGTATCAAGGTATATTTTGTACCCTGTATTGTACAGATTTAAAATTTGTAAGCTACACGAAGACTTATAGACTGACCACCATCGAAGTTTATATTGTGTGATCTTGTGTTCACTAATTCTAATTATTGTTTTATTTTTGGCATTATTTTAAACTAACCAGTTTTATTTCGCTAACACAAAGTGCATCATTTACGTTAATATACAAGTAAAACTGGTGGTAAAGAGCGTTCTCATTTCCTTTGTCAGTAGGTACTTTTAAATTAATAATAATTTATCTACATCTAAAACATAACGTAATATGAGCTGTCAGTATACAAACACAATCTTTAAGATCACAATCAGTACTAGATCATCACAAATGTACAATAGACATTATTATTCTAGGACTCTATCTTATAAGGTGTAACGAGTATGTCGAAAAAATTATAATTTATTTAAAAGTATTAATATTAAAAAATGCGCATCTTATTTTGTTCTAATAGCAAATGAAATCACTTAATACTAAAAAAACAATTATTGTTTATATTTTTTGGGTGACTTTTTTATTTTAATTGGATTTAAACCATACATTCAATTGAAAAATATATTATTTTTTACAATATATTATATTTTATAATATAGTTTTTTATAATATTTCCTCTATTATAGTGAGTTGCTTTTCTTTATTTGCAGAATTGAACTACAGAAACGGCTTCCCTGGCTGGCCATAAAAGAAGAATCTGATTCACAGTCAACGGTTACGGAGACCTCTTCACCTCCACCATCGACAGCATAATATTTAAAAACTTGACTGATTTTTTAACTGCAAAGCAAAACCATGATGACGACTTGGCTATGTCAATGAAACAATGTCGGGTTATATGATTATATAGTGATTTTTTAGATGTATATAAATATACTGAAATATTATGTCTGTCACGTATCTGACCTTTTTATATTAAAGAAAAAGGTTCTTTAAACAATAAATCATGGGTAAATATTGAGAAAAATTTCAAACTGAAAAAGGTGCTCTTTTTATAAAATATTGAAGATTCTTAAGGTATGGCTATAAACATAGAAAATAGAACTAGGGTTAGAAACAAGAAAAGAAAGAAAATCTGCATACAGACACCTGTGACGGACCCAAGTAGTAACCTCTCCTGTCACTCCAGACATCGGGAAGGCAAAACATTTCTCTTCATGCCCTACTATCACCCGATTCCCATTATTTCTTCCACACATTCATCGGGAAAACCACACCAACACTAACCACCAAAGACTTTCAACCCCCGTCCTAGCGAGGCTGCCATCTCTCTCGCGTCGTCTGTCTCTCATTCTCTCCTATTTCGGCCTGCGACAGTTCGAACTCTATCAAGGTGCTACTCGCTCGTTTCAGAATTCTGTTTTGAGTTCCCTCTCCTCTCGTTCTTTTGAGGAGAGCAGCTTCCTAATAAATTTGACAAGGATCTACAGACCGAGAATTTGGCATCCAAATTCCACGGCTTCGCGCAATCGTACTTGTAAGTTCGTATAGTCCGCTGGAGTTACAATTTGCCAAATTTAAATGTAATCGTTTCTACTCATTCATATTAATATTATAATGTATAATATATTAAAGTTTTTAATATTGGTAATATTATTAAAGCTTTTAATACTATTTTTTAATATTAATAATAATATTAAGTAATTAAATATTGCGCGTTACTTAAAAAAAGTACGAGATAAATACAACTCGTTTTTTATATCTTTACGTATGCTAAGGGTAATAAATTAAAATCCTTCAATACAAGACTAAAGGTAGGTACCTATAATTTGAATAAGCTGGTTTTGCCCATACTGACTTTCTAATTCTAATTACCTACTAATTTGCATAACAGTCAGATATTGTACCTGGTCATAATGCTGTTTTAATATTAGGATTTTCATTTCGCTTGTTGAAACTTCATCCGATATTAATTTCTTGGAAATTTTTATAAGGCTGAGAGTACTTAATGGGAATACTCGAGTATTGTTGAAAAAAAACTGAAATTGAAGGTACTACACAATCGAAGAACTCAAAAAAATTAAACATTTCCGGTATTCTTTTTCCAGATCGTATTTTGTTTTCGAGATATATTTAAATTTGGGAATTTTTTATTATTTTTCCACTTTTTTCAGGTTCTTTTTTAATTTAATTTCAGTATATAAAAGCCTTTACAATATTATCCAAATTTTATTTGGAAGTTTTAATCTTAAGTGTTCAGAAACAATTTGCTATTTAGGAAATGAAAATTGGTTTTTTTTTCTTTAGTTCTTAATTTGCTATAACATTTCTCATTTGATTTAATAAAAAATATTGTAAATTCATTTTTTTTTGAATAATTATAACAACGACTTACATCCGAGTAGCTTAACACAATTAAAGAAAATATAACGAATACGCTCACGACTCGGAACTGAGTCTTTTCTTCTTTTCGCATAAAATATTACAAATTTATTTAAAATACCCTTTATTTAATATATACTTTATTTATTCATCACAATTTAAAAAAAAAATACTAGTCAGCACAGCGGTTGATTTCCATGAAAATACGCTAAGCAGTGATAATGATTGCATGTACCTAAGTTAATATTTTTGTCTTTTGGTTGGTGTTATATTGGAAATTTCCCATCTCAAGGCATTTGCAAGAAAATTGCACTTTCATGTAAAAAATGAGTTATTTATCTCATACTTTTTTTAAGCAAGGCGCAATATTTAATTACTTAATATTAATATTAATATTAAAAAATAGTATTAAAAGCTTTAATAATATTACCAATATTAAAAACTTTAATATATTATACATTATAATATTAATATGAATGAGTAGAAACGATTACATTTAAATTTGGCAAATTGTAACTCCAGCCGACTATACGAACTTACAAGTACGATTGCGCGAAGCCGTGGAATTTGTATACCAAATTCTCGGTCTGTAGATCCTTGTATAAATTTGTGGATCCATGTCCACCAGTCCACCACCACTCATCGATCACTTTCACAGTGAACTGCAGAGATCTAGGCCTTGACTATCTCGAGTCAAAACGACAAACAGATATTAAATTCACAAAACACACAGACTCCAAGAAAACAACTCGTATACAGATGTTTTAGAAGATAAATAAATTTAAGTAATAATCACACAATGACATCTGTAGAATATATTAATCTAACATATTCTACAGATGTCATTGTGTGATTATCTGGAAAGAGCGAATACCGACGTCGAAAAAAACCAGTGACAATTACATAGAAAAATAAAATATTTTCTCATTTTTCTAAATTTTTTTGTGAAATTTTGGATAAGTTACACTAAAAGATTTCCTACTGTTGTAATATTTCTGTATATATACATATAAATATTTTTTCCAAAACTATACTTTTTTAAAGGAACACAATAAAATTGAACATTATTGAAAGTATGTTTTCATCAGAAAGGTGTTTTCATTAGTTATAAATAACATAAAAAAATCTACTTTACCATAAAAATACAATTTAGGTTGCGGAAAGACTTAGTTTTATCAAGCAGCGTCTCCTATATTAAGGGATAAACAGGGAGTTCAAAGCTCGAATAAAGAAGAAAAATGTCTACTCTCATACTTTAATATATCCATAATGGGCTTCAATATGATACAGATTTTCATTATGATACAGATTTATGTATATCGAAGTGTACCGGTGTGTATCGAAGGTTGGACATACGCGATGAGCAATGTCAAGTCAAAAGCCTACGCTTTGGAAGTTCACAATATTTAAACAAATTAACAAATTTCAAGATTAAATATTTTTAAGAAAATGTCTGAAGACAATAGAGATATAGAAAATTTAGCACCCCTTAATACCAATTCAAAGTGATGCCATTCAGATTGTGTATTGTGTAATGCACTTGCCACGTTTGAACGATTAATGAAGCTAGTACTTAGGATACTTACATGTAAAACCTGTGTGGTCTACCTCGACATCATAGTCATCGGAAGTGATTTCGATGAACTGTAGCAGTTACCACACTGCTCCCTTAAAAATCTTAGATATGCCCATGGCCCAAATTAAAATGTAAGACGTCACTGTGCTTTAACGCTAGCTAGAAGCGAAATATTGGTTTGGTCAACAGTTGGAGTCAAGACTCGAGACACTTTCCATATCTCTGGTGGCGAATTTGGGACCAATTTGAGAAGTGAGTGTCTTTTACATATGTCGAAATTTTAGATAATACCATCATTAAATATTAAAGCAACTCAAATTAAGCAAGAAATTTAAATAGTAATAAATTATATATCAAACAACCCCATAATGATAATCGCTCTAAAGTTCTAAAGCTACGCACTAAGTAGTCTCAGGTAAGCAATCTCAATTACTTATTTTATAAAATCGGTTCTTTTAATATCTATATACATCGTTATTCATTTTGTAAGAAACCAAAATAGAATCGAATGTTTTCGATTTTCGTTTTTCAAAATAGAATGTTTTTATTCGTTTTTTACAATACAGTAAATAGTCTGAGCTGCGTAGACCGTTTATCGAACGATCCCATGTGAAATATATACTGTTATAACCATTGCTTAGAAACAATTGGAATTTTCTTGATATTATTTTGTAGATTAGTCACCAGCCACCCATCCAGAGTTTTACTATACCCATCCACTCATTTGGAGAAATCAGCTTGGCTTATTCTAATCAGCCTTTCATCGGCGTTGGTTTTTGTAGAGCCGAGAGGGTCAAACACTATGTGGACTTGTTTTCTGTGGAACCAGCTGTTGGAACAGATAAGCTTTTATTAATTTTAAATTCATATAAATACCTGTAAATCGTTCTAGATCTAAATTGTTAATATTTGCTTTGATTAACAATCAGTGTAAACTGCTTATATGCATATAATCAAGTAAACTTACTAGTTTTTTTTATAAATAAGCAAGGGGTAATTAACATTTATATCAGATGTTCAATAAGGGAGGGGAAATTTTAATGCGTTTTTTTAAATAGGTTTTTATAAAGAGTCTCTGATCCGACTCACTCTATTACATATTTTATATAAATATCTTAATTATAGTAATCTGTATTTAGTTACTATTCGGACACATATTAGTCCTATCGGTGAGTACCTCATCAACTTGCGTCTGCTAGGCAAGGTATTCATTTATTGTAACAATAGTTGTTCTTTTCTTACCTTTAATACCTTACCTAGTCTTGGTTTGCTTTGTATTCTTACTAACCTTAAGTGTTAAGTTATTTCACATTTCTCTCGGACTTAAGATTATTTTTTTACTAAAACCCTTGTTACTTGGCATAGTAGTGGTGGTATTTTTATTTGTTCGTGGCTATTGGGCCTATCTTACCTTTACACGCCCACCACTTCTATTCTGTTTAATAAAAATTTATAAATATATTTGTCATTAGTAGTTAGCTTTTTATTTCAGTTTCTACTAACCAGTATATTATAGCAATACATGGTAAATAGTAGTTTTTTAAGAAATTCCAGGTTATTGTATTAGGTATACCTGTTTCTTGTTTTTTTCCTCATTTCTAAATTCTCGAGCTAGTTTGAGTGGCGCCCACATTCAGTACTTTAAGCAACTTCGTACATTTCATACCAGATGCCTTCCATACAAGATTAAATTCCAAGTTGTCCTATCTAATTTTATTGTTTGTGTTACAAAGTCTCATTTTATCCCTTGTTTATATAATTATATCATTCCATATATTGATCTTTTATCCCAAAGCCAGTCCCAAGTGTAAAAAAGCTAGCCCGAATTCTCCCTTGAGATTTGGTGTCTCCCTGGAACTTTAAATTGACTCCTCTGAGCTAAGCCATTCTTTATTAGTACATTCAATAACTTCACTCGAAATTCTTCTTCTTGTGAATTCTTATTCCTAAATTACAATACCCCAGAGTATTGGAGTTTCAGAACACCTTGCCAATTTAGTTTTCACCTGACTTAAGAACGCTCACCTACAAAAAATACCAAGAATTAGTATTGCCAGTGTTCCCATAAAAAGTAGTTTCCTTGAGCATGTAATTTTATACTCAGTAATTGCAGCAAAAAATTAAAATGCAAAAATAAATGCAATACAAGAATAGTCCACACTAAGAAATAAACTCGATGGCCGACGCTTCTTTTTCCTTTGCAGTTACTACCGTCAAAGATTGCCAAACCTCTCCATAAACCGACTAAGAAGAAGCTGTCATTTGACTGGACACCAGACTGCCAGCTTGTCTTCACCACACTCAAGCACAAATTGACAACGACTCCAAGCCTGGCATATCCCAAAAAACAAGAACAGGGAACAACTAACTGTCCGTGTTTGTACACAAAAAACCAAAGAGACTGGGACAAGCTGGTACCTCTGTTTCTGCTAGCCTACCAAAGCTCTTAACATGACAACCTATCAGACGGAGAACCGTACCAAGAGACATTCCCCGAGTATATCAGTGGCCTAAATGATCGACTGATTAAGGACCACGATTTCTACAGGAATAAGCTACAACTGACTGATAAGGCTAAGCTCGATTAGAAATTCACTCCAGTTTGCCTCAAGGAAGGTGATGCAGTCTGGATCTATCAACCAACTAAAAGAAAATGTCTAGTCCCAAGTTGCAGCGGCCTTGGGAAAGACCGTACTCAATCGCTAAGAAGATAAACGATCTTGTATATAAGGTAAGCCAAAGGTCGTCCACTTGGAGCTTGTGTCCTTATAAATGAATTACAATTCTACAAAAAGCTTTATAATCTTTAAAACTTCACATATAGGTAAGAATATTTTGACAAAGACAAGTGGTTTCTATCTTGCTAAAACATAGTTTTCAATTTAAATAAAGATTTCTAAACGCCGCGACCGTACACGCCTATTATCATATACAGCGATAGATTGCACGAAATGCATTTTCGAAATATTTGATTCCATGTTTTGAGCAAGACAGAATCCATTTATCCTTGTTAAAATATTCTTACTTGTACCTGCAGATTACGCCTTTTTCGAGTATTGATATTTCCTATCGCAACCTGTGCATCAGAAACTTGGACATTAAAAAAACTTCGATTCAAAGCGTATAATGGCATTTGAAATTTGGGTCTACCGTAGAATATTGCAGATACCATGGACCGCCCATTGCACAAATAACTTAATTCTAGCAAAACTTAACATAAAAACTAGACTCATCACAACTATCATCCAAAATATACTGAGATATTTTGGACATATCACCAAAAGAAGAGAAGGTATGGAGCGAATGATAGTTGAAGGTAACGTAGAGGGTAAGAGATCCAGAGGAAAATCTCCAGTACGATGGTCGGACCAAATAAAGGACATGGCTAGTTACTCATTCTCCTAAGCAAAACAACACGCACAGGAGAGAAATAATTGGACAGAAACAGTCAAATAAATTACATGACGTCACTACATCCTTACGAAGGAGAAAATATAGAGGAAAAGACCTGAAGGTTTAAAGATTATAAAACTTTTTATAGAATTGCAATTCACTTAGTAGCTTTTTAGAAAAAAAAATCCCAAAAATCACCAATTAAGGTATTTTTGCAATAACAAAAAATTGCAAATAACTCGAAAAGGAAGCATTTTCGAGTAAATACTAAGATAGAAAAAATGTTTATTTTGATTATTACTCATAATTCTTTATTCTATTTACTTATGTCTTGTATAGTTAATGTATTAACGCACATTATAACTTTAGTTTTATTAGATTTTCCCTATTTAAAATAAATCAAAACCAATCCACCTGGTCGGCTATCGATTAAAGAAATCTCTAAATTCCATTAAAAGACAGGCTTAACGAGATTATCTGGTTTTAGTTCAACCCTTATTCGATTAAGGAATAATTATAAAAACCAGATTTAACTTTAACGCCTTCGTCAGTTCGATACAAACCTAATGTGGTGGTGCAGCCATGGGGTTGCTCAACTGGACCATTTCTCCAGCAGCCAGGTATGTTAACCATTTTTAAATTTACAATTTGTTTTAACATTTTTGTCTAGTTTCTCCGTCAAAGTCTACATAAATGTATTATTGTATTTCCCATTTTCTTTAATATATGATCTACGTGGGTTTCTTTCGTATAATCTTTATATTCTTCAGTCTACACTTTTATTGGCGTCTCATTTCTGCTTCAAATATAAGTTTTACTAGTTATTTTGTATTATTTTTAATATATGTCCAAATTATCTACGTTTCCTCATTTTATACTCCTTTTAGTTGCTTACTTTGATTTTCAAAGTCGAAGGCTCAAGAGGACGTCATTCCCTTATGTATTTTTATATGTTTCATGTCAAGAGATACAGCTAAGAACGTTTTTAATCATTTAAATGTACAATAATATTTTGGTTGATTTTTTTTATTGATGAATTTACCCCTTTTAATCTTTTTACAATTACTTATATTTCACTTGTTTTCTGCATTCTTCTGTCCATCATTTTCTTTCCCATCAATATATTTCTTATGTTCTTTCCACTTTTTTCTCTATTGTATTTACGCTCTACTCTTTCCGTGTTTCAGTTTACCTAGTGATCTTGAAAGTTTGCATTCCACTTCCGCGAATGAATGAATTTTCCCTGTACAGCGATGACTGCGTCATCTGTGTATATGAAGTTTTTCTTTCATGATATATTGGCTGATCATTTGTATATATATATATATATATTGAATAGCAAGTTAACCAGCACACTACTCTGGGCCAATCTATTCTTTTGGGTTATCTAGCAGCTGTTTTAACTTTAAAGTGTTACATAAAACTGACCGTTCTGCAGTACCCATCGTATGAAGTTGGTTAAGTTTTGGTATTCATGCCCTAACCCTAGTTCACAAACGCCACGCCCTATCTTATTGTATATTTTTTTCTGCAATATGTTGGGTCAGATTGAGGATTTATCTACAGTAAAATCGGCCAGAATAGAAACCAGCTTGTTCCCGAATCAGAGTTTCATCTATGATTGCTTGTATGCGATTTAGAGCCGTGCGATCCATAAATTTAAAAGATGGCGTAGCAATGAGATAGGGTGATAACTTTTAGCTTCCGATGGATCTTTTTCTAGGTTTCTCCACAGTTTCGGGATCTTCAAGGAGCACATGCAATTGTTAATCAAGTCCAATATCCATTGATTTGTGACTGGACCGAACTGTTCCGTTTTTATGTTGACAGTACTATCAGCTTTGTTATTTTTCATGGTCAGGATTGCTTCGTTAATTTTCATTTCTTTGGATTTTGATTTTCTATGGCATTGTCCTAGTTTTTACATTAATAGCAGTTAGTGTGCTATCTGGTTAGCAGTCTGATTGCCTGTTTACGTTATTGCACGTGGCTGATCTTGGTTTAAATTATTAATAAGTTTTCACACCCTTCTACTGTTCTGTTTCATATCCAAGTTATCAACCACTAATATCTTCTGCTTTGATGATGTCTTCAGAAAACGCATCAGACCTAGGCTGTAACGAGACAAAATGACTATCGAGATCGTCTGTAAAGCTCAACCATCTATCTATTTTTAATATTGAAACGTCTCTTGAAAGTCGTCTTCTTAGGACCTTTGAAAGGTATTAGTGACGAAGAGCAAGAATAGGTTTCATCCTCGTTTCCACCTGCGGCAATTACAGGATGCAGGGAGCTTGGTGTCATAAACCAGTTTTAAATTTTTATACTTTGCCCAAGATTCGACTTTCTTGTCGTTTTCATGCGATTGATTGTGATAACATGCGATCCTTAAGCGGTGCTGTGGCTGTTAAAATCCAATTTTGAAATTTTTGTTTCACATATTACCGGGGATGTAAAAGAACTCTTTATTTGTAGGTTTGTAAACGTGAACTGAAGTGATCTTACTTATTTGGAATTCAACTGTTAGTATTTCAGTGTTTTGTAACTAAAATTAATGGCAAGATCAGCTTTGACAAATATAGCACTGCCATGTTAGCAACGAAATCGTTCGATGACTAGATTTATTCCAGGAACTTTGGGCTTAACATTGTTTGTTACTCTGTTGATTTCTTGTACAACAAGCATAAGTTTCAAGTTACATACTTCTCCTCATTATCATCATCATTGTAGCTTTACCTAGTGTTGAGGAGGCTAGTGGGTCCTAGCCTCCTCAACAATCCATTGTCTTCCTCCGCCAAGCACGTTTTCCACATTTCTCAAGTCTTCACAGATGTTATTAAGTAACCTTGTTCTGCGTCTTCTTCTTCTTCTCTGACCAATGGGTTTATCAAGGAGCGTTGTTCCAGCTGGATCATTTTGTTCCATCCGCATTACATGATCTATCCACTACAGACGTTCTATCTTAATATGTTGTACAATATTGTCATTCACTGCTTCATAGATTCGCCTTAGTATCTCTGCGGTAGTCTTATTTTCAGTATTATGGAGCGCTCCCAGGTATATAAATTTGTTCACTACTTCGATGACATCGTTTTCTATAACAAGTGCACTCCTCAATCCAGCAAAATAATGAAATTCCGTCCATTACACAAAAGCCTCTAGGTTTCGACTAACAGCATAAAATATCATCATCATCATCATCATCCAGCCTCTATTTATCACGTCCACTGCTGGACATAGGCCTCCGTTAAACTCCTCCATTCCTCACGATTTTGTGCTCTTTGTTGCCAATTTTTAGTGATACGCCTGATGTCGTCGGCCCAACGTGTAGGTGGTCTTCCTCTACTGCGTTTGTCTGCTCTTGGCCTCCAATTTGTAATTTTGCTCGTCCATCGTGAATCGTGCATTCTCGCTACATGGCCTGCCCAGTTCCATTTTAGTTCCGCTATGCGTTCCACAACATCAGTAATACTCGTCCTTCTTAGCAGATCTTCGTTTCTTATTCGGTCCCTCAACGTCACTCCCAGCATAGACCGTTCCATTCGTCTCTGTGCCACTCTCAGTTTCGAAGCCGTGGTCTTAGTTAAAGTCATAGTTTCCGCCCCATAGGTCATGACCGGTAATACGCATTGGTCAAACACTTTTCTTTTGAGGCTGATTGGTATGTTGGCCCTAAGTGTGTCTCGCAGTTTTCCAAAGGCTGCCCATGTTAAAGTAATTCGTCTTTGGATCTCACATGTTTGGTTATCCCTGCTGATTCTTATTTCATGACCCAAATACGTATATTTCTCCACCAGTTCTACCACTTTGTCTTGAATAGTCAAATGGTTATTGGGGACCAAATTTGTCATAAACTTAGTTTTGGTCAAGTTCATTCTCAGGCCCACCTTCGAACATGCAAAATCCAATTCGTTTATCATATTGTGATGTCCTCTCGTAGGAGTCACTATCCGGGTAGCTTTTAGACAGTCAGAGACAGAGTTCAAAACAAAAATAAAACTTTATTGTCTTCCTTAAATTAAATTGACAAAAATCTTATGTACATATTTACAATTTGGTTTAGTCTTCTCAGTACCTGGCCTATGTATTCAAATTAAGTTTGACCTTGTCATATGAAATTAGTTTTATCGGCAAGCGAATGTGTATTTGAAATTTTACGGGAACGTCGTATCGATTTAATAACAGCGGACGATAGGTACAAAGAAAGGAAAGGAACTCAACACGTCCCTTGAGTGATTCAGGTTAACAGGACACTCCTCGACAGTCTCAACACGACTGCTTCAGAGTATGGGTAGTGAAGAGATCAACACGCTCTTCGGGTAACGGCGGTATGGCACGGAACAACTTGTGAACTCAACACGTCCACAAGCCGGAGTAGGGAAGAAGAGAACCTTCAGTCAACACCTGTCGATTCCCCCTCTATGAGGAAATGTTGCGGTTTATATAGCGGAGCTTGGTAATTAGTTTTGCCCTTTCTACTATCGATATACTCCTACTTCATGGGTTGGTTCGCGCGCACGCTAGTTTAACGGTGATGGCTTGGACTCATCGTTACAATATATGTAGCTTCTCCTAAATTATCTGTGATAAGAACAATGTCATCTGCGAAACGGAGATGGTTAAGCTTTTCGCCGTCTATCTTTACTCCTCTATGGTCCCAATTGATCATCTTAAAGGCATATTCTGCATAAAGGCATAAAATATAGTCTACGCTAAATAGAGTCCAAACACAAGATGGTAGGTGCGCATATACACAAATATGGTAAAGCAGCCATCTTCAAACCTTTGCAATTACGGATAAGTAAAAACGATGATCCACACTACTGAAGAATGTAATAATTTTCGAAGTTTAAGTGAAGATATATTTCTGGTATGTCATATATACAATGCATGTGAAAGGTATGGACTCCAAATGAATCTCAAGAAAACGAAATCAATGATATTATCAAAAAAAACACAAAATGTAGATAACCTGATCATCAATAATACAACGATCGAAAGAGTAACAGCATATAAATATTTAGGAACGTGGCTAACCGAAGATGGAGATCAAACAAAAGAAATCAGATCTAGAATAGAAATGGCAAGAAACACGTTCATAAAATTGAAGAACTTACTTTGCAACCGTTAACCTTAATCTAGAGATCCGCACAAGAATGCTACGTTCTGCCACATTCTTTGAGATCTGGTGCTACAGGAGAATCCACAGAATATCGTGGACTGAGAAAGTAACTAATATAGAGTTTTTACAAAGAATGAAGAAAGAATGTGAAGTCATAAAACTGATAAAATTAGAAAGATTCAATATCTGGGTCATATAGTGAGGGGCGAGAAGTAGGTTCGGTTGCAGCTCATTAGAATTATTTAGAAGCGCGGTCAATAAAATTAAAATAGCGATGATGATTTCCAACATCCGATAGAAGGAACCTGAAGAAGAAGATATTTCTGGTAAATCAATTTGATAATGCACATAATTGGTCCAAAAATACATACTTTTTGGAAACCAGGGCAAATCTACATCTTCTTATTTATATTTAATATAAACTTGTAGCTTTAACGTGACATATTGTCCAGTTTATTTAAAAAATACAATAAAAATTGATAAACTGTTTAATTTATACAAGCATCTATTAAAACCGACTGTGTATTTATATTAGGGTGATGGACCCCCTTGACGGAAGAATTCAACATCTGGGCTGGAATATACCAAGTGAAGAGCTCATCCACATTCCAGAACATTGGCTAGCATTTCCTGACGTGGATAAGAGCCTTCATTTCATGCTCGGCATCGTTTACTTCTTTTTCTTTATAGCTGCGATGACTGGAAATGGAATGGTGCTATGGATATTTTCCTCGTAAGTACTAGTTCTCACACTTCAAGCTCTAGACAAGAAGCTCTTTTTTTGTTAGCTAACTTCTAAATTTGCTTTATTTTAGGGCAAAATCTCTTCGAACAGCGTCCAATATGTTCGTGGTAAACCTAGCCTTCTGTGATTTCTTCATGATGCTGAAAGCCCCAATTTTCCTATACAACGCCTTCCATCACGGGTATGCTTTGGGTCATACGGGTTGCCAAATTTTTGCAGCCATGGGATCACTATCAGGAATAGGTGCAGGAATGACAAATGCTTGTATAGCCTACGACAGATATACAACAATCACCAGACCGTTTGATGGAAAAATTTCTAAAGTGAAGGCTTTTTTAATGATCATCTTAGTATGGATTTACACTGTACCTTGGACGATTTTTCCTTTATTGGAAATTTGGGGACGATTTTCTCCAGGTAATAATGGATTTCTGTATATGTACGAGTTTAAAAGGAATTTTTATTGAATTTTAGAGGGCTTTTTAACTACTTGTAGTTTTGACTACTTGACTAGGACTTTCACTAATAGGGTGTTTGTTGGTACCATCTTTACGTTCTCATACGTCTTCCCAATGTCACTGATAATCTATTTCTACAGCCAGATTGTCAGCAAAGTATTCAGCCATGAAAAAGCGTTAAGAGAACAGGTAAACTTTATCTTCTTCTGCTATACCAAATATCCAAGAGTTTCATCTTTTTAGGCAAAGAAAATGAACGTAGAGTCCCTTCGAGCTAACCAGCAACAACAGAACGAATCTGCGGAGATGAGGATAGCTAAGGCTGCACTGACTGTATGTTTCTTGTTCGTTGCTTCCTGGACACCTTACGCTGTTCTGGCGCTGATAGGGGCGTTTGGGGACCAGTCGTTACTAACTCCTGGAGTGTCTATGATACCTGCATGTACTTGCAAACTGGTAGCTTGTATAGATCCTTATATTTATGCAATCAGCCATCCAAGATATAGGTATGTATGAAAAAAATATTTTGGTCAGAAGAAAATCCAGTATCTTGCAGAAACAAACATATGAGAATGTATGTAGAAAAAGTATATGTTTCTCCGACGTACTCGTACTTTTTCTCTATCACTTGTTTTAGCGTATGTATAGCGTCTATCGTGGATCTTCATTTTCTGAAACCGTACTGGTAATCTCATATCCTTGGTTCTGTGTATGTTGTTAGTATCTCAATTATACGTCATTACTTTATATGTTACGTTCAGTAGTCAGTGTTCAGTAGTTTTTACATATCCTATGATATCCTTATTTTGGGATTATCACTATAACTCTCTTCTTTCATTCTTTGTGCTTTATTTCCTCACTCCATATATTCTGTATTAGTTCATAAATCTTTCTGTATAGTCCCTCCCCTCCGTATTTTATAAGTTCTGCACATATTCCGTCTTCTCCCGCTGTTTTTATGTTTTTAAGTTTGCATATTTTATCTTTCACTTCTGTATAGGTCAATTCTTCTTCTTCTTCTTGTTCCGTGTTCATTATTGTTTCTTTTTCTTCTTCTCTATCCGTTTCTTGATATATTTCTTCAAACTACTTCTGCTTCTATAGCTATATAAGCTGTCCGTTTTTGGTTACCTAGTTTTAAATATTGGTACAATGGTTTTGAGTTGTGTCTTTTACTTTCTGTTTCTATTTCGTTTATAATTTCTTCTGCTTTTTGATTTTTTTTTATTTAAGCAATTTCTTTGTCTTTTGTATTTGATCTTTATATTTTTCTCGTTCCTCTTCTTTACTTGTTCTTAAGGATTTCAATCTTGTTTTATTCTTTTCTTCTACTGCTAATTTGCACTCATCGTCAAACCACTTATTTCTTTTCATTTCGCATTTTGCCAACCACTTTCTCTGCTGGTTTGTTTAATTCCTTGTTTCATTTTTTCTACTGTTCCTCCATTTGTTGTTCTTTAAACTGCATCTCTAAATTTACTTCTTTTACAAATCTTGTTTTTACTTCTTTCTCTTTCAATTTATTTACATCCCGATCTTCCTTGTGCTTTTCGTCTTTCATGCTTAGTTGTTTTTATTTTACATTTTATAATCACTAGCATATGATCCGCATCGATGTTTGTCCCTCTGTGGGATCATCGTCATTTATCGATTGTTTGTGTGTCTTTTTAATCAGTATATGGTCTATTTGATTTCCCTCCAGACTTCCTGGTCTCATCCATTTTATTTTGTGTACGTTTTTTGTGTTTATAGTCTTTTTTCTTCATTATTGTTTGTTGTGTTATGTATCGAGTTTTCACCTGCAACTTCTCTGAAGTAATTTTCTTTGTATATTTGGGCGTTGAAATCTCCTATAATGATCAGTATATCGTGCCCGGGATTTTCTCGGCGCTTTCTTCTAGTGTTTCATAGAACTGTTGTTTTGTCAAGTCATCACTGTTTTCTGTGGATGCATAGACATTTATTATGGACAACTTGTTCGGTTTGCATGTATGATATTCTTTCACTTATGGGTTTAAATTCCATAACTTTATGTCTCATTTTCTCTATCACCATAAAAACAGTTCCTCCTGATCCCTGTTTTTTTTCGCCTGCATACCATATTGTATAATTTTTCTTTTCGTTTTTTTTTTTTCGATTTCTCCATATCCTCGCCTTCTGGTTTCCTGAATTTCTGCAATATATATCTTATATATTGTTATTTATATACTGTAGTCTACTAGTATTATCTTTACATTTTTCTTTGTTTTACTGTGCTAGTTGATTTTTTTTGTTTTATTTCTGTCTACAGAAATCTAAAATTTGCATTTATTATATTTATTTTCAGACAGGAGCTTCAGAAACGCCTTCCTTGGTTAGGTGTAAATGAACCATCTGATACACACTCTACTGCCACGGAAGCAACAGCACAGCAATCTGCAACAGCGTAGTGTCTGTAGAAGGATTGATTATTCGAGATTTGTCTGATTTTGGAGTTTAAGTGATGTTTTTGATGTTTACAAGATTCAAAATCATATTGTTTTCACATTTTTCTAGTTCACTTGAACATCATATTATTCGAAAATTCCAAAATGATAAGTAAAATGGCAAGAAATTATATATTTATCAGAAATCTTCTACTTCTCTTTTCTGAAGGAAAACACTTGTTTGGAAAAAAGGATATTTAAATAACGAAGAACAATAATGTGAAAATAATATGATGGTTCTTAATTACAAGAATATTAAGAATATTGCATAATTATTATTATTGGAAAAAGTGTATGCGTCTTCTAAAATATACATTTTTGCAATGAACATGTAATATTTATCACAAAAAACGTTGCGAACTTTGTATATCTCATTTTATGCTAGAAAATCAGTTATATAATTCTCAAATAACATACTAGATTTGTATCGAAATGAAGATTTTGGAAATCATTGGAAAAATGACACGGCTATTCAAAAAGGTATTTGCATTTGATAACACTATAATATTGTCTGTGGTATAACCACACCCGTTTAAAAACAAAGTAAAAATTTCTTAAAAACATTGAGTTGTTGTCTAATATCTCTAATTTCAATTAAAAGAGAAATTTAGAAGTATGTAAATGTAAGGCATTTGAAAATTTTGAACTACCTACCTGTTACCAAAATGTTATCAAATAAACTGTACATATTATGTAATCAAATATAACACAAGCAATTAATTATATGTGTAGTTTGATTATCCCTGCCTTTCCAATTTATATGTCCTGTTGCAGTTTCGCAACTATATATAAACATTGGTAAAATATTAACAGACTTTTTGTTAGTTTTAATTATCCCCGTATATTTAGCCAAAATTCCGCGTACTAAAACACAGACGCTATAGAACAATAAACGGTTGTTAAATAGATTGTTGTAGACAAAAGACTGTTCTTTCATACATTGTATGTTAACAAAGAGCCAAAGAAAAATGAGTGGTTTTCGTTAAAAGTGCAGCTCGCTGGGTAATGATCTCCCACACTATAGCGTAGCGTTATTTGTACAAAACAACTCTTGACACAACGGCCGGGTCAGACCAGTCACAATCAGTCAGTTATAGACAGTCGTTCCAGCCAGTAGGGGTGGAAGCTGCTCCGACATCAGCAATACTTTTGTTCCTGACCTGCCAAGAAGACAGAGGTCTTCGTTTCCCTTTTGTAAATTCGTTTACATTTTGTAAACTCATTTCAACTATGAATCAAATATTGTTCTTTGGTAATATACATATTCAATGCGAAAGGGAGAAACCAGCGAGTTCTAGGTTGAACATATATTCTCCTTCCTTTATGATGGCTTTATATGTTATATAAAGGTCAGCGTATGTGCAGAAAGCAACACGGCCGATTAAAGTATGAGCTAGAGCAGTGTGGTCCAACCTTTTAGACGTTGCGGCCGTATTAAATTTAAAATTATTATGAAGGGCCAGAGCCTGCATATCCGATCACTTGTACAGATTTTTAAAGATGGTGCCAACGTATTAATATGGCACTCTCGAATTACATTTTCTAGTGCATAGTTAAATAAGAGACACGACAGTCCATCTCCTTGTCTCAGTCCATTTTTACAATATAAGGGTCTTTTTCTTCTGTTTGTTTTTTTTTTCTGTTCACTGAGTCATATGCGGCTTTGAGATCCACGAATATGTGGTGAGTGTCGACTCCGAACTCAAGCGTTTTCTCAAGAATCTGCCGTTTTGCGAATCTGAAAGATTTGATCCGTTGTTGATTTATTGGATCGGAAACCGCACTGGTAGTTCCCAACTATTTGTTTCAGCATAGGCAATCAATCTTCTGTACCATACGTTGGACAATACTTTATATGCCACGTTAAGTAGGGTGATGTATTTATAATTATCACACACCATCATATCTCCTTTTTTGTGAAATTACACTTAATTTCCAGTCTGTGGGCGTTTCCTTCCGTTGCCAGATTTCGGTTACTAATTTATGCATGTGTTTCAAAAGGGTGTCACTACCATTTTTAAAAGAGTTCGGAAGGAAGATTGTCCAAACCAGGGCTTTGTTATTTTTCAGTTTTGAAATGGCTTCTCTAATTTCTTCTTCGGTGGGAGGCGGCTCTTGGGCGTTTTCATCCGTTTCAGGCAAAATAATTTCTATTTGCATTCTTCACGACTGTTACTAAACATTTCCTCAAAATGATTCGCCCACCTGTTTAGTATCTGTTCTTTGTCACTAATTATGGAACCATATCTGTCTTTACATACTGTTATTCTGGGTTTAAATTATTTTCTGTAGCTGTTTATCTTCTAGTAGAATTTTCGGGAGTCTTTTCTATTGTGGTAGTTAACAATCTCGTTTAGAGCGTTTTCGTATGGCTCTTTCTTTTTCCTTCTGAACGTCCTTTTTTCTTCTCGTCTAAGATTTTCATAGTCTTTCAGCTTTGATCTCGTTCTGCGCTGCTGAAGTCTCTTATATGTTTCATTTTTCTGTTGGTTAATGGATCTACATTCTTCGTCAAACCAATCTTCGTTTATTTTAGAGTAGTTAGGATTTAATTTTTAATTTTGGAGGTGAACCAACGGAAATGATCCAGATTCTACGAGGCTTTAGACAAGGTTGTATACTTTCACCTATATTATTTAATCTATATTCAGAGGAAATATTTAGTGAAGCCTTGGAAAAATGCGAACATGGAATACTTCTAAATGGAGAACGCCTAAACAACATCCGTTATGCAGACGACACCGTTATTTTTGCAGCAGTTTGAACAGTTTACAGCAACTAATAAACAAAGTAAATGAAGTAAGTGAAAGATTTGGACTTCAAGTAAATATAACAAAAACTAAATTTATGATCATCAGCAAAAATAAAGTTAGAGACGCTCAACTACTTATCAATAATACACCAGTGGACCGAGTAAAACAGTATAACTATCTTGGAGCAACAGTAAATGACCAATGGGATCACTCACAGGAAATAAAATGTAGAATAGAGAAGGCTAGGAGTGCATTCAATAACATGGCCAAACTCTTTAAAAGCCACAATCTTAATCTGGAGATAAAAGTAAGGCTCCTACGATGTTATATCTTTCAATATTGTATTACGGAGTTGAATCCTGGACACTAACTGAAGCAATGGAGAAAAAACTTGAAGCCTTCGAGATGTGGCTATACAGGCGAATTCTAAGGATATCATGGACAGACAAGATAACCAACGAGACCGTATTACGAAGAGTGGGCAAAGAAAGAGAGGTGATGTATACATTAAAAGGAGAAAGTTGGAATATCTCGGACATATAATGAGAAACAGCACTAAATACAGATTACTGAAGGTAATCCTACAGGGTAAAGTATTCGGAAAGCGAGGAATTGGGAGAAGGAGAATATCATGGTTGAAGAACCTGAGGAAATGGTTCTCCACAACAACAACGAATCTATTTAAAGCATCAGTTAATAAAATAATTATAGCCAGAATGATTGCCAATATTCGGAACGAATAGGCACTGAAAGAAGAAGAAGAAGTTTTAAAAAGCCTTTAGCCGTTGTATGGATAGCCCTTGTATTTGGTCCAGTGTTCTTCTATACTTAAATTTTCGTAGATTCTTGTCAGCTCTTCATTTAGCGTCTAGCGTCTTCAGATTTTAGCACATCAGTATTATATTTCGTAGATTTTGTGCTCTGGCCCTTATCTATTCTATCTGGCTATTATGCTATTAAGATATGTAATTGATTTTCTATCTTAATATATTCGTTATATCCTTCCCTTTCATTTACTATGTCGCATGTGAGGATTCGATCAGTTGTTTATCTTGTACTCAGTCAGACGCCTTTTCATCCATAGTGCACTATGATATCTCGTATGAAACTATACATCCATTAATAACGAAATGCTTCGTAGTGCCCTTTTGGGTCGCCCTGTTTGTTTTTTCTATCCTTAAGTAATCGTTATAGCTCCCCTTTCATTTTCTATATCGCGTGATAGGATTTGATCAGTTGTTTATTTTGTACTCAGCCAGAAGCCTTCTTTGTCAATCAATCAAAATTTGGCATACGGTTTTGCTTTCGTATTAAATTATTAAAACAATATGTTCAATTACACGTGAATTTTATTTTTTTTTTCAAATAAAAATTGAAAACATAATAATAAGTTACTACTTTTGATGCGAACTAACACACAATTTACTTTAAAAATAAGTGTATTTGATGTTTCGATTTCGATCATTTAAGTGTCAAAACAACGTTGCAATTACTGCTTTATTATTTTGGTCAAACCATAAGTTTCTTTTTATTTTATAGTAGAAAAGCTAGTTTTGAATTTCCTTGAAAATAATACTAACATTGTATATTTTATCTTCGTTGTTCATAGTAAACAAATCTTTAATTATACATACTGTTTTATTAATTTGATAGGACATAGGAAATATGAGAGCAAAACCGCACGCCTATGGAGTCTAACGTAGCATATTGGTTTTGTTTACTTTTACTGCATATCGAATTTGAATGAACTGTAGTTTCCCAAAAGTGATATTTCCGTATGAATTCACTCAAGCGCGTGTTATTTAAATAAAGATACACCAACATTTCAACATTTATTAATAAATTAAAAAATAAATTATTTAAAAACATGATCAACAAAACACAACTGTCATATTTCTATGATTTTGGTACAAAAAATGTATCTATTAACAATATTCACACTAAAGAATATTTTCTTGAAAATACATCCTTTTTATCAAGTCAGAAGAGAAAAGGCGTTACGTAAAAATCGTGTTCTAAAATTTCTGATACTACAATTTTTGTCTATGCAGTCTCTTGCAGCACCGAAGCATAGGAGAGAGAATCTTTGTAAAATTACGAAATATTATCATTTATTATATCAATTTTAATACAGCGTATGGTATAGTACTTCATCTCAAAATACTTTTAAACTCTTGTGTAGACGATATTGAAACAAAACTATCCGTTGTATGTACAACTAAATACAAATCAGCATTTTGACAATGGATAATTAAATAATTCTGAGTATTCTTATGGTCCAGCCTACACTCTTTCCCAATTTTGAACATTAGACAAAACAAGACGGCGATTAAAATCATTTTTCCGTAAACAGTTATATGATAGATAACATTAAAATGTTCTGAACAATGAACATGTTTACTCAAAGTGGTGAAGAAGATATAAACAAGGCACACAGAAATGACGATACAATATTTTAAAAAGTACCATAATTATTTTTTGGTAAAAACTAAGATTTTTCTAAGTACTCGTTTTTGGTGAAATGTTAACACAAGGAGTGCGACAAATCAACGATGTTTTACGTCGTTTACCATGTCAAACGACTTCACATTGTCAACATATTAGAATAATTGAGGTCCGACCTGTTTCTAAGACAAAATAAATTTATAAGCATATACAAAATGAGCAGATCACTACAAATGTTAAGATTTTCTCGCCGTATTCCTACCACTGCGTTCTTCAGATTCCTTCATCAGTTTATATGCCGGTAGATACACTTTCGTGTTGAGTTTATCGTCAAAATATGACAGATGCGGATTTCGGACCGTATTCGTAGAGCTTCCTATAGAGGTGAATCCTAAGTCGTACAGTTTGCAATATGGAATTTTGAAGACGAGTAGAAAATCCCAAACATCGGAATAGTGCCAATCGAGAATGGGATTCACTCGCATCACTTGTGGCCAATCGCGATCTGTCATCTGCAATAAAAAATAAATAATGAATCGTGGTTTTTATTATCATATCATTTGATATGAGGATGATTTGCATGAGTGAAGATATTTACACTAGAGATCATCAGAAATTCAAGATTATGGAGCAAAATAAATTTATTGAATTAAATTACCATTTGAGCAGTATTAAATATATTTGTCATTTAGACTATTCCGTTTGAAGAGCTACAAGAACCATTACATCAAGAAAGGAAACTATAATTGTCATAGTGTGACTTCTTGACACAAATAAAACTTTTTAAAAGGAAAAAGTTTAATTTGATTCAATATTCTTAACCCTTAATTACTGACGCGTAGTCTACCATACTACGGCTGTTTTTAAAATTAATATCTACCGTAATTAATAAAATATTTATTGTTCCGTAAGTGTACTCTCAAATAGCATTAAAATAAACGTATTTAACAAATATTAAAAATAAATCTCGAACTGAACCGAAATCCGACAATAAAAGTATGCAGATGTGGGTTATTTGCTTGTTTTGATAGTCAAAAGAGTCGTCTAAATGAGTAATAAAGCATATTCTTCAAAAAGTGTGCGTTTTATAGATGATAATTATGAAAAACAATCACGAAGTGGTATGAAGAAAGTGATAGACTTAGGCAAATATGCAAATTGCTTATTTTGCATATAATGCATAAAAAATGCAAAAAATGTCAAATTTTGCATATTTTTATAAAAGTGAGCATAACGTGCATATAATTTGAAATTTTGGTGTTAACTATATATTTTTATATTCAAACTTACAGATAGCATACAAATGCCAATATTTAATTTTGTTTTATAATCATTTGGTATTCAAATTCTTGGTATAGTAACTAATAAAACACAGCGGCTTATAGTTTTGTCACGTTTTGTTCTGCAATTAAGGTTTTGTGTAAACCAGTTTATGTCTCTAGGTAAAAATTTTTATTTTGACGGTTAGTTTCACTTGGTGTCACTTTTGTTGTAAAATTGGAGGCAATGTGTAAAATAAGCAATGTGTCAACTTGGATAAAACCTTACAAAGAGCTATCTATGGATAAAGTTTTTGCTCATTTTGTGGCAAAACCGTAAGTACATACGTATTATTTTTTATTTTATTTTAAAAATTTACAAACAAAAATTTAAAAATGGAGATTATGTTTAAGAGAAGTACCGACACAAGGCTAGTTCGCAAAAAATCGATGTATTTTTTCTTTTCTCAATAATTTTTTAAACTCCTTGCGATAAAAAAAAATAGGATAACTATTTAAAATTCAAATCATTCAATAGTTTACTGAAAGGTCGCTAAGACTTTTTTTAACAATAGCATAGTTTACTTTAATTTTGCTAAAAATTAATTAAGTGCTTTTAATTTATGCTCACTTGGAAAGACCAATTGCCTCTTGTAAATATTTGGGGGTTCTTCCTTCTTGCACAGTCATTTCTTGACATTTCTAAGATTACTACACCCATTTTTATTTGATTTAATTGAAATATTTTAATTGTTATGCAAAAACGGTTCATTTTTAGTTTATTTCTACAATATTAGATTTTAAAAATGGGTACAACTATAGAATATTTATATTCTTTTTTAGATTTTATCTGAAAAAAAAAATTCAAATAGATCAGCATGTCAGAACCGCGAAACATTGAGCTAAAAAAGTAAAAACCACATCCATTGAAAAATATAAACCTTCAGTGTCCAAGTGCTTTCAGTGAAGTTCCAAAAAACAAACTGAACAAGAAACTTTTAACAAAGACTTGTGCCGTGTATTAGTATCTTCTAATATACCGCTTTCAAAATTATCTAATGAAAACAAAAAATATTGCAAACATAAAAGCCAAAATAGGTAATAATTACTTTTACATATGTGTGGGACGAGACCACTTACTCGTCAGGAAGATACATTGTGCACTTATTAACCCATTAGCGCTAAGTGGCAACTTTAGTTGCCAGTGACTTTCAACACTCGTAAAATCTCTTGTTTATTGTGTGTGGCCTATTTTTAAGTGGTATATAGTTTTTAGCGTGTCCTCATATATTTATAACCTACAAATTTGCTTGTAAACTTGTTAGGTGCTCATTGGTATTTATTTCAATATTAGACTTTTTTCAGCAACTTTTATTAGAGTTTAGTCCTAAACAATGTAAGTATTTTTTAGTTAATTTATAATATTTTGTGTTCACACTAAATTTATCTTAAACCAAAGGTTTATTATATATACTGATCTAAGAAAATTAACTGTTCATTGAATTGTAACATAATTATGGTACCCTAAATGTACGTGGCAACTTTAGTTGCCACTGAGCACTAGAATGATTTATTTTTTTCTTTTAGGGCTAAAGTTATGGAGGCTTGTGAAGAAAATTACGGATCAAGTTTTTTTTAGAAGAATCAGGTCTGTAGGAATAGTTCTCCTCTAGAATCTGCTGAAGCTGATACTGACGAAGATTCAGATTTATCAGATGACGAAACTGAAGGAAATCCAAATCATTTATCAGGTAGAATCCTCCGATCGAAAGCTATTGTTGAGTGAAATGAGGAAATTGTTGAGAATCATTCAAACAGTACAGTAAATATCTGTTTGGATGAAAAAAAAGTATTGATTTGCCACAGCCAGGTACTTCAAAACCTATTGGAAATAAAAAGCAAGAAGTAATTGCATCTTCAAACAGTGTTTGGTCTCGAAATAAAGAAAACAGTTGGAATTTACCTGCCGTTACTATACCTTCTGGACCATAGACTGTAGAATTTTTGAAAAATTCAGTAAATTCTCCACCTCAAGCTTTCAAATGCTTTTTTACTGATACTCTAATTGAACATATCATTACGCAAATTAATCTTTATGCCGGACAAAAGAGAATGCATAGTTTAAACGTAAGTTATGATGAAATTTCTGTCTTCTTGGGAATAATCTTATTATCTGGTTACCACCAACTGCCGAGTAAGCGGATGTATTGGCAAAATGAACCTGACTACAAGGTAGCTATAGTTGCAGAAGCAATGCGAAGACGTCGATTTGAGGATATACTACGGTATCTCCATCTAAATGATAACTCGAAGATAAACACAGACAGGTTTTACAAGGTCCGTCCTCTGTTTGATTATCTAAATAATTCATTCAAGCATGTACCAGTTGGAAATTCAGTTGCTATAGATGAGAGCATAGTCCCGTATTATGGACGTCATCCTATAAAATAATTTATATGAGGCAAACCTATTCGTTTTGGGTTTAAATTGTGGGCTTTAGCAAGCCCTAATGGATTTGTGTCTCATGCTGAAATGTAGTAATAGGACTCAGCATAGGCTGAATATGCCAACGTTCCTAGCGGGACTAAATTATATTTTGACAATTTATTCACTTCTGTGTCCTTACTTAAAGAACTGTCTAAACGAGACTTGGGAGGAACTGGAACATTACGAGAAAATAGAATAGCAAAGTGGATGAATTTACCTCCGAAAGAATCTTTCAAGAAATGTGATAGAGGGACGACACATTCCACATCTAATGAAAAGCTAACAGCCATTAGATGGAATGACAATGCTGTTGTAACAGTATTATCAAACTGCCACACAGAAGTGCCGTTTAAAAATGTTCGGCGGTTTAGTAAACGTGAAAAAAAGAAGTTGATGATTAAAATGCCTGATGCCATTTCACACTATAATTCTAATATGGGAGGTGTTGACCTAAATGATCAGTTCACTGCTCAATATAGATATTATAGCAAAATTCGCAAAAAAAAAATGGTGGCCACTCTATGCTTGGTCTGTGGATGAATGTTGTGTTCAAGGTTGGCTTCTATACAGACTTCTAGGTCACGAATTACCGTACTTGCAATTTAGAAGACAAGTAGTATTCTCCAACTTAACCCGGGCCGCATACATCGTTTTCCACTTTCGCTGTTTTAGAAGATCTAAGAGCGGACAAGAAAAATCACATTATCGCGAAAGGAGACTCAAAGTACCGCAGATGCAAAATGTGTCAAAGAAGAACAACATATTTGTGTAATAAATGTAATGTACCCCTACATGTGACTTGCTTTGAAACTTTCCATAAATAATTTCCATAATATGTATCTCTAGTTTTGTTAAAGCACGATCAGTTTTTAATACATTTCTATTACATAGAAAATTTTTGGTTATTACCAAACCGTAAGCGCTCAGTGGCAACTAAAGTTGCCACTCATTTTGACAACCTCTTGGCAGACCTTGATTTTTTTATGTATTTTTTAGTAAATATGTCACACTATTTGTCATAAAATCTATAAAAAAATTTACAACTTTCAAACTTTTTTAGTTCTGAGCACTAATGGGTTAATTGGTGTACTTAGTGATGAAACCTTTCCAAAATCGTATCTAATGTCCTGTAATCAAGTGAAAAAAACCAACACTCTAACAATATCACGGTTTCTACAAGAAGCATTAGCAAACTTTTTTCTTCCTGCTGCTGTGCCTAATGATAAATTATTGCTTATTTTATCTGATGCTGCACCACATATGGTGAAAGCAGGACAAAATTTAAAAATATTTTATCCAAACTTAATACATGTCACTTGTTTAGCGCATGCAATAAACAGAGTTGCGGAGCAGGCAAGAAAAAAAATTCCACTGGTTAACAGTTTAATAGCGAGCGCCAAAAAGAAGCGGATGATAGTTGCCAATCTTTATTGCAAGCTAAGCAAGCATTCCAAAATAACATCCTTCAACAGCAACTGTCATTCATAAATTTATAGTTTTGTCCAGAAAACTATAACTCAATTAGAATTCTCCAAATTATCATTGTTAGAGAGTACTTCTTCTTCTTCTTCTTCAAGTGCCCTGTCCGTTGCGAACGTTGGCTATTAACATGGCAATTCTGATCTTGCTTGCGGCGCTTCTGAATAGTTCGCCCGATGTGAGCCCGAACAACTTCCGCAGATTTTGGAGCCACAGGCAGGAGTGTCTTCTCCTGCCTGGCCCTCGCTTTCTTTGTTTAATTGTATTCACGATTTGTTTCTCCTTTC